ATCGATCCCGAATTCAAATGGACGAACTTTGATTTAGAAGAGCAGGCCAGGGTGATAGTAGCACCAAGGAGTAACAATGAGCTGGATGCTACAAAGCTGAAGAATGAGTTCCCTGAAATGTTATCAATTAAAGATTCAATTCTTGAGTATGTGTTCAAGCCCAACAAGAAGACCTAAAACATTAAAACAGTGGCAGTTAGAGAAGAAACTAAGCTCTCAGCTTCAGGACCTTAAGCTGCTTTTTCTTTTTTCCATTTCTGTGATTCTTTCGTTCCTTACAGATTTTTTTTGCGGTTTCGGCATGTTGTAACCTGCAATACTCCCCTATTGCAATTTTTCTTAACTGTTGATTCATTGAATACTTGGTTTTGCTACATTTGCATTTCTAAGCATAACTTCTTTTTTTTTTTTCCTAACATTTCAACGAAGGACATTCCTGAAAAAGAATTTGTCGAATAAAGAAAGAATAAATTAGAGTTAAACCACATTTAGAAACATAATAGATGTAGTTAAAAACGTATCTATTTATCCAAGTAAATATAACGTTTCATCACCTTGAAGATTAGATGAATTTTCTAGGATTTTATAACATAGCAAAGGTGCGGTTCAACATTTTCTTTGTATGAATTGAATAATCAGAGAAAGCACTTTGACAAGTTTAATGTGAATGGGCTGTTTTGTGTGATTGCATAAGCAAACCATTATCGAAAGAGATTAGCGGTGCTAATTAATTTGATTGTGACAGAATCAAGCCATTATTATGTTTCCAAGCTTTTGATTGCTGATTGCGGCTGGTGCGTGATATATATCCTTTTTTATTCTTTTCAGCTGATGGCAGATAGCCGGGTAGTGCATGATGTCGAGTAAGTATGTTGTAATTGACTAATACTTTCCATCATGATTATTAAAAAATTAATGCACTTTAAAAGTTTAAGCGGTGAAAATCTTAAATTATTTGAGCTTGAAATTGTATATCTCTATGTTATATGAGATTTGGATTCATGATTAGTGGATAAGATTTTAATTCGTCATCATTTGATATATTTGATTATTATCAAATTTGTGATGTGATATTAAAAAATAATTTTAATAAAAAAGTTTAAATAGTTAAATGAATTTTTTTGAATTTAAAACTTATAAAAACTTGTTATATAAGATTGGGATTCATAATCATTTCGTTATCAAAATTTTTTCGATATTATATAAAAAAAAAAATCTAAATTTTAGAGTTTAAACGATAGAGAAAGACCACACTTCTATAACCATGAGCATTATTTCACATGATTGGGATACTTTCAAAATGCTTTTTATAAACCTTTTTTATACCTTTAGGACACTTCGAACTTCAATTATTTACCCTAAAAAGAAAAAAAAGTCTTAATCATTTCGACCCTTCTTGAGCTAAGAAAACTGACATCTCTATCTATCTTCTGGAGATAGAATTTAAGATGTACTTGGATATCCAAGAACCAAAAGTATCTCATTTTGATTAGATTGGCATTGCCACGTTATTATTGGAGTATTTGGTATTTAAATGCCAATATATATATATATCAAATTTATTTTTATTTTTATAAGCTTTAACTATTTTTTTTATATATATATATCTATTAAATGATCATCTCATCTAAAAGCTTAAGCTTATAGGTGAGGCCCTAGAATATAATTTATATTAGTCTCTAACACATCCCCTCAAATGAAAGACCCAATATTTGAGGCATGAAACTTGCATGCAGTCCATATTGTCTTGTGCTTAATACTTGAGAAATTGAAGATGATGAGACTTGAACTCGGGACCTCAAAGTCAACCAAGCTCCGATACTATATTAAATGATCATCTCACCTACAAGCTTAAGCTTATAGGTGAGGCTCTAGAATATAATTTATATCGATCTCTAACAATATCTTCAGTATTGGGTATGCTTTCCCTTTTTATTTCTATTTTTCTTTATTTTTTATTTTTATTTAACACATAATTTAGAGTATTTTTTATAGTGTGCAATTTTTTTGTTCCTTTTTAATTACAAGTAATGCTAGTTTATTTGTTTATTGAATTAATTTATAAATCACAACAACGCATGGATAATCAAGAAGACTTAAAACATTAAAACAGTTGTAGTTAGAGAAGAAACTAAGCTCTCAGCTTCAGAACCTTAAGCTGCTTATTTCTTTTCCATTTCTGTAATTCTTTTGCTCCTTACAGATTTTTTTTCGCAGTTTCGGCATGTTGTAACCTGCAATACTCCCCTATTGCAATTTTTCTTAACTGTTGATTCATTGAAAACTTGGTTTTGCTACATTTGCATTTCTGAGCACAACTTTTTTTTTTTTTTTTTTTTTTTTACATTTCAATCCAGACATTTCTGAAAAAGAATTTGTCAGAAAAAAATGATAAATTGAACTTAAATTATATTAAAAAATATATAATAAATATAATTAAAAATGTAAATACAGATCTATTTACCGTAGTAAATATAACGTCTCATCACCTTGAAGATTGGATGAATTTTCTAGGATTTTATAACATAGCAGCATAAGATGGCAAAGGTGCAGTTCAGCATTTTCTTTGTCTGAATTGAATGATTAGCCAAAGCACTTAGAAAAATTTAATGTGAATGTGCTGTTTTGCGTGATTGCATAAGCCATTATCAAAAGAGATTAGTGATGCTAATTGATTTGATTGTGACAGATATCAAGCCATTATTATGTTTCCAAGCTTTTGATTGCGGCGGTGCATGATATATACCCTTTTATTCTTTTCATTCTTTTCAGCTGATGGCAGATGGCCCGATAGCGCATGATGTTATCACTGGCTACTACTTTCCATCATGCACTATAGCTGAAAGGAAAATATATGTACATAAAAGTTTAATTCGTGATCATTTAATATATTTAATTATTAAGTCTATGATGTCATATTAATAACAATTTCAATTAAAAATTTTTAATAATTTAAAAACTTAAATGGTTAAATGAAAGTTTTTTAATTTAAAATTCATACAGATCTATTATATGAGATTGAAATTCATAATCATTTCGTTATTAAAATTTTGATATCGTACTAAAAAATAATCTCAATTTAAGAGTTTGGAAAAAGATTATATTAGAAAAATAGTAAACTTTTATAAACATGATCATTATTTCACATGATTGGGATACTTTCAAAAGGCTTTTTATAAACCTTTTTTTATACCTTTAGGACACTTCAAAGTTCAATTATTTACCCTAAAAAGCAAAAAAGGTCTCAATAATTGCGACCCTTCTTGAGCTAAGAAAACTGACATCGTTGATAGAATTTAAGATTTACTTGGATATCCAAGAACCAAAAGTATCTCATTTTGATTAGTTTGGCATTTCTTTTATATATATATATCAAATTTATTTTTATTTTATAAACTTTAACTACTTATTTTATTTTTTTTATTTCTTCAATATCGGGTACTTTCTTTTTTTATTTCTATTTTTCTTTACTTTTTATTTTTATTTAATACATAATTTAGTGTATTTTTTTTATAGTGTGTAATTTTTATGTTCCTTTTTAATTACAAACAATGCATCGAAAATCGATTAGTTATATGCTAAAAAACATCAGTTTTTATATTATTCTCACTCAATAAAGTATTCTTTTTAAATTTATTCAATCAAAGCCATAATCATTGAGATGCTTTGATAAATTAATTAAAAAAATAAATGATATATTAAAATTTCAATGCTGCTTCACCATCGAAATAACTTTGGAAACTAATAATGAATCCGTTATCAACTTCGTTATGCTTTTTTGGTTTTTAATATATATATATATATATATATATATATATATATATATATATATATATATAGAATGAGATAAATAAGAAAAGGCTGAAAAAAAATTAAAATTCCATTGGATTTTATTATCTATTTAATAGCATGGGCCTTATTGAAAACTCTTGAAAACTATATGGATGATGTATAAAAAATTCAAATTGTAGATTTTGAAGTGAAACATTTTTGTGGGGGGACTGAATTAATTTACCATCTCTTAACCAATCACCTTGACACTCCTGTCACTGTTGATAACATTACAGCAAATTCTTCTGGTTTTAATAGATTGAAAAATATTTATTTTGATTAACTATTTATATCACAAAAAACAAAATAGTCCTAAGATTTACTCTACAGAGAATCTCAACCCCCACGTGTCAATTTCGTTTTTTATTCAAATTTGTACAATTGACCCCCCAAGGAGGAGAAAGGAGTTCGAAGTTTATCTCTTCTTTTTTCAGTTGTGGAGCCAAGCCAGCTACCCAAGTTTATCACGTTGTCTATGAGTAAATTATAAATTAATCCCTCTGGCTTTACAAATTTAATTAATTAGTCCTTCTTTAACAAATAATTCTATATTCTTTAAAACTTAAAAAAAATAAAAATAAAAAAGAATGTAAAATGGATGAAAAAATAATTAAATTTTAAAAAGAGAGGACTAGTTAATTTGTTTATCAAAACTAGAAGGACTATTTTATAATCTACTCCGTTGTCTTAGTGACTTTAAAATAAAAACGCATAGGGAATCTTTATACAATCACTCGTGACAACATCATCGTTATATTGTTTTGATATATATATATATATATATATAACATCATTAACTAATTTTTTTTTTTATGTTTTACTTACTTATTGTAATTAATACTATAAAATTTCTTATAAATCTATAAGCAAGGTCCTTTTTTTTAACTCACATGCTCAAGTCTCTTAACATAAATTAGTCTATTAGAATTTAAATTCGTAATCTTTTTATTACAAGAGATCATAATTTTTTATTTTAAGAGATCATAACTTCTAGTTGTAAAAGATAATAACTTTATGTTATAAGAGATCATCATTTTTTAATGACAATTTTTTTTTATTGTTTTATAAATATATAGATTCTCCAAAAGTTTGATAAAGAAATTCGAATTGAAAACTTCAGGTGGAATGGATCTTTCATAAGAAAATCATGTGAAGATAGCATTGACCCCATGGGTATTGGGTAGGAGGTCCTATCATTGTTGTTTTGAAGTACAGATTCAGTCTTATCACTATCTCACTACTGTGACAGTGATCACAAGTTGAATTGGACGAACTAAAAGTGGATTAGATGGTAATTTAGTCTGTTTATACACTTCAAATTGATCTCTCTGATTAAACACAACCTAGAAAGTCATGGTGCCATCATACGATGCATTTAATCCGGTCTATAGATCTAATTAGTTAAAATTTATACGTATTTAAATATACTTAATTGTACATTTTTGGTATAAATTGAACTGTCAATTTTCAATTTCAGAAGGAAAAAAAAATTTTAATTAAAAAAATATTGTTTTGTAAAAGAAAAGATTACTTTGTAAGTACTCTAAAGCATCAAGGCAAGGAAGAGATCAGGCAAGTAGAAAGTTTCTGTCTATTTATGCTATCTTTTATTATTAGCCCTTAATTTCCTATAATATAGAAATTTCCTTTATAATTATAACCGATCAATAAAATAAATTAAGAAATGTGGTCTAGCGATACAAATGTTGTTTTAATTTAGCTAAGATCGATGTTTAATTTTCATTATCTACAAATAGCTAGTCATAATTATTTTTTAATAGTATCAAGTTTGAACTAGTTTTGTTTAAGAAACAGTTTAATAGTTGACCGAAGTTAGATGTATGTTAACATTGACTTATTTTAAGAAGTAAATTTAATTTCTATTAATGCAAAAGTTGCTTCGAGCAATCGAGCCCATTATCTATAAATATCAAGAAAAAAAATTAAGAACCGATAAAACAATGTACAATTATATAGAAACAGTGGGCTTAATTACCTAATCTAATGAAATAGTTGATTAAAATTTATAAGGCTTTTCTAACATGTATCCTAAAGGCACATATTAATTAATGTAAATAGAATATTTTAACATTTATAATCAACAATATTAATTAAAATTTTACTCAATTATAAAAATGAATCTATTCTATTTGCATTAATCCACTTATGTGCCTTTAGAGCACACGTTAGAAAAAGCCTAAATTTTTCATGATAAATTGAAATGTAGAAACTTTTTACTACTTGTTTAATCTAATGAAAATAAAATATTTTTAAGCTAGTTTTCATCTACCATATTAAATTTAGTTTTCATCTACCGATATTAAATTTACTTAACATCAATTGAAATTAAATTTTTTTTTTTTATGTTAAAATAACATCGGAATGCACTTATAAAAAACACATGCATAATGCAGCATTATGTACACAAGTGGATAACACCTGCCTGGCTGCCAAGCGTAACAAACCAAACTACAACGTGGCATGACATGTTTCGAATATTAAAGCATTATATCGTCCGTTTCATGGGAACTCATCTCTTACTACTTCCTCCTCAGATCCAACCTAACCAAAGAGAAGAAAACCTCTCCATTGGACATCTTGTTTCTTGTGCTAAGAGAGCTAGAGATGGAATATTCCAGCCACCAATTTGATGTTATCGTTGTCGGAGCCGGCATTATGGGCAGCTCCACTGCCTATCAACTAGCAAAAAGAGGCCAAAAAACTCTACTGCTAGAGCAGTTTGATTTCTTGCACCACCGTGGATCCTCACATGGTGAGTCACGTACTATGCGAGCAACTTACCCTGAAGACTACTACTGCGACATGGTCATGGAGTCCTCACAAATTTGGGAGCAGGCTCAATCAGAAATCGGGTACAAGGTTTATTTCAAATCCCAGCAGTTCGATATGGGACCGTCGGACAACAAGAGCCTTCGCTCGGTTATCTCTAGCTGTGAGAAAAAGTGCCTCTCCTATAGAGTCTTAGACAGCCAACAAGTGGCCGACCGATTTTCAGGCAGGGTTAGCATACCGGAGAATTGGGTTGGAGTGTTAGCTGAGATTGGTGGGGTTATAAAGCCCACCAAGGCAGTGTCCATGTTTCAAGCATTGGCATTTCAGAAGGGTGCAGTTCTGAGAGACAACATGGAGGTGAAAGACATTGTTAGAGATGAGGTAAAAGGAGGGGTAAATGTGGTGACTGGAAATGGTGAAAAGTTTTGGGGTAAAAAATGTGTGGTTACTGCTGGCGCTTGGATGAGCAAGTTAGTTAAAACGGTTCGCGGACTTGAACTGCCAATACAAGCCTTCGAGACTGCAGTGTGTTACTGGAGGATCAAAGAAGGGAATGAGGGGAAGTTTGCCTTCGGAAGTGATTTTCCTACCTTTGCAAGCTACGGGGAGCCTTATGTTTACGGCACACCATCGTTGGAGTTTCCGGGTTTGATCAAGGTCGCCGTGCATGGTGGGCACTATTGTGACCCTGATAAGAGGCCATGGGCTCCTGGGATTTCATTGGATTCTATGAAGGAATGGATCAAGGGGAGATTCTCAGGCATGGTTGATTACGGTGCACCGGTAGCTACTCAATCTTGCATGTACTCATTGACCCCAGATGAAGATTTTGTGATTGATTTTCTTGGTGGGGAGTTTGGGAAGGATGTGGTGATCGGCGGTGGGTTTTCAGGTCATGGGTTCAAGATGGCTCCGGCCGTGGGGAGGATTTTGTCGGACCTTGTGCTTAGTGGGGAGGCAACGGGGGTGGAATTGAAGTGCTTCAGGATTCAAAGGTTTCAAGAGAATCCCAAAGGGAATGCGAAAGATTTTGAACACCAGGTCAATTCCCCTTCAAATCACAAGTAAATAAGTAGCCCATTTGCTTTTCCATGCTTGTCTATGTTAAAGGATTGGAGCTTTTTATGGACATTGGTATCTTATCTATAGTAGCATATTTGTCACTTGCCAGTAATCTGAATTTCATTCACAATAATCTGAAATTCAGGAAGGAAGATCTAAATTTCATAATATTTGAATTTAAATTCTCAATGAATTGAATTTGCGTATAAAAAAAAACCACAAAATAATCACAGAAAATGAATAAAGTCAGGTTCAGCGCAAATAAATATTACTTGCGAGAAAACCAAATCGTGAACAAAAAAATGGATACATCATTAGCTAGCAAAAAAAAATGGAGTCAAGAGACCCAATATGTACAAACTACAATAACAAACAAAGCATTGCTGCTGTTGTATAATTTTCAAAGAGAGGAACCCTTGAACTGGTAAAGAAAAATTCTGATGATGACAGTAATGCAGTTCGATTTTTGTTGGGTTCAGGTAAGCAAAATCTAAACCTATATCGTGTGTAATGGTGATTTCTCCTTATTGGATGCAACCGAGCAAATCTGCGATTTGTAAAAATAAAATGGCAATCGTAGCTGCCTGGTTGAGCTAAAAAAATAATCAATCTGACCACATATAGAGAGTATCGATCTACACTACAGACAGGCTGAAAGATCCAACAGAGATACAATCCTGGAAGGAGCCTGCGCCCATCTAGCCTTTAAACCGAATCAGAACCTGCAAAACTATTCAACTTTGTCAAATCAAGGAAAAACTTAACCCTGATAGATTTCATTTCCTTAAGTAGTTAAGTGCAAAACTTTTGCAAGCTGAAAGCGCGCTTGTATCTACATCAATTGCTTCGCTAGCATACTTCAAACATCTACCAGTTCACCACCATTCACAAAAATAAAACACGGCCATCCTAAAAAAACATAAGTTTCGCAATTGGCTTTCGGTGGACTTTCAATCACTTGAACATCCAATTTTTTCCAAGATTCGATATCAAAAAGTTAAAGCAAAGGTTCATCAGAAATTACAACATAGCTAAACCTAAAAAATGTTAAAAACTGGTAAAATCACTTTGTATTTGTTTTGCTCCTGAACACACTAAACAAATATGCAAGTGTAGAGTTTGTACCCATAATGGCAAAATACCGTGGAATTCAAATTCCAAACAGAATAATCAAGTTTATCAAAAGATCGATTCATTTAAGATCAAATAAAAAACATAACTGGGAGAGAACCACATTAATAACCAACTGAAGCAAATCGTTTTATCAAATAGATTAGCACGAATAGAAACCTAAATAAAAGAATGGCTAACCTGTGTTGCTTGTCAAACCACAAAAGTTGCAAGAAGTGCGTGCATGATAGCCCAATAGATAATTATACAAAGACGTAAGGCAGGCTGTCGCATTAATGCCCTATCACAAGAAACCCTGAAATATTGCATATATAAGATTTTTTCAGCCCATTATGAAAGCAATGCAAATCTTGCATCAAACTGAGAATAAAACAGATAATCCTACCATAGACCATCAATCATGTCAGACACAGGTCTTGTGAACTTTGGGACAATTCTCGATGTAGTAAGCGACTTGAAACCATGAACTGAGGTGGAAGAGGAAAACGAAATAAGAATCAAACTGCTTTAGAACAAAAAACATCAAAGTGCAACAAAACATCTTCTAGGACTACCTTTATCATCATCTTCATCCTCTAACCTATTATTGCCAACAGGATCCGCATCTATAGCAATAGCAACTTGATCATTATTGGCTTTGCGCAAATTGCGAACTTGAGAAGAGCTGGAGGGCCCAGGGGCTACCCATTTGTTTATCTGCATGGAAAACACATAAAAACTGAGCTTATTCTCAAGTACTCCAGATTTAAATTGCAATTAGCATAAGTAGTTTTCTCATCTAGCATTGCAACAAGCATACAAAAATAACTGGCATGTGTCACTCAAAATTTTTGACAAGCTTATCCTAACACTAATAATCAACATAGAAGCAAGCCAATCATAAGATGCAACCTCTAAGATTGCTTTACTTGTTTCAACTACATAGAACAATTTAATTACACAGTAAGGGGGAAAAGGTAGTTCTGTTTGTCAGGATCCGTTACCAAACATCTTTGATTTAATGGTGATATGGAGATCAAAATAACACGATATACAGCAAATTTTCAATATATTACTGCTGTTTTAATTTAACAGGTGCATTGCTAAACAACTAATTTTCATCAAGTAAAAGGATAGATTAAAAGACTCACCACGGGTTCAACTTCCACAATTTCAGAGGCTGAATTAGTTGGCTGTCCCAAAT